ATTAATACCACGGGAACCGTAACTATTCCCGGGATAAAAAGTAGCCTATGTGTTCTTCCCGACTATGCTCTAAATCTGTGCCCAATTTCATGGAGATCCGTTCAGCCGTTTAGGCTACAAACATCCATCCATCCATCCATCTAAACTTTCGCATTTATAATATTAGTAAGATAAAAACTAACTACCTTATGCTTTGATATTTAAAAAACAGATTAAACATATGCGAAGTAATTAAGATGGAATAATTTTCGCTTAGTGAAAATAGAGTACGAGTATAAATATTTTAACGCAATTAAATCGCACTACGTTGGCGGCGGTCCAAGCCGGAACTACTTCAGTGGTCGCCATTATTAAAATAAGCTGCACAGATGTTACAAGATATATGCACTGGAAACCATTGTTTTTACACTCATATTTGTTAATTTATTCCTTTTATTATGTTGCTGTTTAAATTGTGGAGCGGACAGCGGGAATAAACTTTCGGTCAGCAAGAATATTGTTATAACATATAACAACTAATGCCTTTTTTTAAGAGGGGGAATGCGTTACGCGTCCCAGGTGCCTTGGGGAAAGACACAGGGTATGTGGGACTCTCTCCACATTCCTGCCCGAAAGGGAAGGAACGTGGAACCCCACTAAGCCCCCTCTGGTTCCCTCGACTTCACCGTTCACCGGGGCATGGGCAAACTAATGCCTAACGTATCTCTCTAAAACAAATAAAATGCTTGTATTTTAATTCATTTGTTTTATTATAATAATTAAATTATTTCTTTCTTTCGTACAATTAAAGATAATTACAAGGTCCAGTTATCTTGTCATACGTAAACTAAAAGGACTGTTAATAAATAACATGAGAAATTATATTATTAATAACATATTAATACAGTTTATCTTTTTAATTTATTGCTTTATTGTTAATAATTAATGATAACCTTTCCTTTTATCAAATCGTAGCATATGATTTATGTCTACTTTTTCCATATAGTGGGAGAACAATATTTACACCACATAGGTCGTTTGTAATTCGATGCGTTGCCGATTAAATTTTGTCCTCCATAGGTTCTGCAATAAAAAAAAATCGCGTTATACTATCTAAATCTTTAGGATTACAATCAAATCACATGCAGCTTTTTATCTAGATCTGTTTAACTACTGAACACCGCTGGGAAAACATCGTTTAACCTCGGATAAGAAAAGTATTTTTTTTTAAATCGTACGTGTACACAAGATTTTTCTTCCAGCATTTAT